TCAGGGCAAACCCGTCAGTCGTGTTGTGCGGCATTTCATATCTCGACGTCCTCTGATTCCACAAGAAAGAAAATTACGACGCAGAACCAGAAGCAACCGGGCGCTGAGCGTGTGCGGATCGAAGTGATTTACCTGAAGAAGGAGCCTAGGGCAGCGAAACGGATGCCGAGGGGACCCGCGCGCATCCTGCGGGCGGACACAAGTTACAGCAGCGGCGAAATTCTAACGATTTTTGAACACGTACACACGTGCGTGCGTGCGCTGCCTGACGGAGCAGCGCAGGAGCAGTTTGACCCCAGCGACGCTCGTTTGTTATCCCCCCGACGCTCGGAACCCCCCCCTCATGGAGGTAATTGGTTCCTCCCCCCGACCCGGGTAATACGACACGGCGCCCGCTGCAGCCTCCGGGGGCCGCGGTCCACGTCTTGTTAACACGACGCGAATGCGAACTGGATGAACGTGTCTTACAACAGGCCACGACCACTTCCTCCCATTCTCCTGGTTCCCGTGCCCAGTGAAATCTCATTCGGCCTTTCTCTGAGGCTGTTCACGTGTCTTGTGGGTTGTAGCGCCGTGTAGTCTGGTAGAAGTTTACCGACGTTTCGGATGTCCTTGCTGCCTCCATCATCAGGGCGATGAATGAAACGGCGCCGAGTTGAGTGATTCTTCTGCCACATGCAAATGCCAGAACAGCGTCTTCGGCTTCGTGGCGCGTCCTTTCCGATCCTCTGTTCCTTTTAGCGTTGAATAACGTTTACAAAATCACGGGACACTCGACGGAAACTGTAAGACGTAAGGTAACATCTTCAAACGCCAATAACTCGAGACCTACGTAAGATAGAGAATATAAACCTATAAGTAAATTAAGGGCTTTACTTTATTCTATAATCCATATTTTACACATCGTTGAAATAATTACCCAAAACGCGTAATAAGTAACCCTCGTTCCTTAACTTCAACCGATTGCCACGTCTAAAGCATAAGAGTTAGATCGGGCATATTGCGAGTGAAATGCGTAAATAAACACGAGCTTTTCAAATTTGCAAACAGATTTCAGCTAAGTTTTAGTCATTTATTTCGTAACAAAGAAAGGTTCTAGAGTGAGTAAAACGCAACACATAGATAAGCTGTCGGATGACGTCACGTATAGATAAGATGCAAAGGTCTACGTTAGAATTTTATTTCAGTACAAATATACTTGTACAGTTAAATGTTATTCAACGCTAACCAGGGAGCCAACCGTGGTTCCACATCGTCGTTAAACAATGCTGACGTAACAGAAATAAGACAGGACGCTCACATGTGTGAGATAGAGCACTGATACATTCACACGTTCCGACCGTCTGAAGATAATCTGCACTTATCATGACGAATGGCCCCACAATGGCGGTGTCGCATTACGGATCCGAAGCCCTGAGCAATCTGCGACCAAACGGAATGTCTCCGAGGCTGACAGCACGGAAGCTCGTGGCTGCTGTCTACGGTCGTAAAAATTACAGGGCATCTACGCCCCCGCAGAAACGTCTCCGGAGGGGGAAAGAGAAGAAGTCCGGAACTGCATTCACTACCGGAACACACAAAACAACCTCACGTGAATTCGCCCTGTTTCTTCCGCTCTGGTCGGACGGGCGTAACGAGCCCACGAAGGCTCACTCCGGTACGAAGTGATGCTGCGTAGACCAGTCTTGCCGAAACGCGCATTCGCTGGCTGCTGATGCAACTTCGGTCAAGGTTCGGGACATTATCAGACGCCGATTGCAGTTTCTATGCGACGAACAAGGACATGGCTCGACGTCCTGAGCCTTCCTTCCTCCCGCTGTCTCCTTCTTCGTCTGTTTCTTGAACGCAGTTCCTTCTTTTGCTTCTGTGTTCGTTTGTTGGGCCCGCGATGGATAACGAATTTCTGCCGTCTCGCCCCCTCGTAGGAGGCCCAGACTTTCTGCTGGAACAAAAACACTTGACTTCGTAACACCGCGGTGTCGGCCATGTGCGCGAACCGACGTCAACACGACACCCGATACTTTGCGGCGTCACTCACTCGGCAGCTCGGACAAGCGAAGCCATGGACCCTCGGTCTCCACAAAATGTGGCGCATTATGCGAGTAGCTGAACAACGACAAGCTTTGCCAAAAGAAAATAGTTACGGACAGCTCACACGTTGAACAGGACACCTGGAATGAGGCGTCATCGAAATGCACTCGGAAACACAACACAAGAGACCAATCAGCGGCGAGGAATTTGTTGTTCGCAAGATT